GAGACGAACAGATTCATTAGAGCAGGGGTTCCCAAACTTTTTGACACAGGGACCAGTAAATCCATTCACAAGCTTTTGGAGGACCAGTAACATTCATTTGCATATTTGCATATTCATTAAACACATTATGAATATTCAAATAAGTTGTTTCTGATCCTCCCAAAGCCCCCAGTGCCAGCATTAGCAAAGTTTTTGATACAGTCACACACAATATTCTTGCCAGCAAGTTAAGGGAATATGGATTGGATAAATGGACTGTAAGATGGATAGAAAGCCGGCTAGATCAGGGTTTCCCAAACTTTTTACTTTAGTTGGAACCCGGTTTTTTTAGCAGTTTTTTGCAGCCCAAAAATATAAATGCATATAAAAAAAATAATGAAAAATGAATACATTTTCAGTTTTTACCTGAAACCTGGGCCAGGGCTTGGGGACCCGGAGCTGCATGGGCACTCCAGGAGGTGGGAGCAGGACCAGACTGGGGGTAGGGTAGCTGTCTAGGGTGCAAGGAAGGGTAGGTGTCCGGACAATCTGGTATTTGAGGGTTTTGTCTGAGAAACAAATTGAGAAATTACCAGACACATACAATGTCAGGTATGTCCTAATTAGGTACGTTTTATTATAATTAGGTGTATCAAGTCCTTAGCTGCAAACTGCCTGGATAGTACATGTGCTCACGCTGCCTGAGTGTGTCTACCTGCCAGGCAGTTCGCAACTACTCGAGGGAGGGTATGTGTGGGGCAAAATGGAATCCCCAGGCAGACTCACTCCTCTGCTAGGGTCTGTAGGGTCTGCATGTGCCCAGGTCAGTCCCGCTCTCCCCTCCCTTCTCCTCCTGATCTCCCAGTCAAGCCCTGCTGCTCCTGTCCAGCCCTGCTTCTGGCAGCCAGTTCCCCCGCGTCCCCTACCGATCTCCTCTGGTCAGCCCCGGTCCCCCCGCCTCCCACCAATCTCCCCCGTCAGCCCTGCTCCCCCAATGACCCCCCCCAACCAGCCCAGCTGCCCCTCTCCCGCCCTGCTTCCTGCAACTGGTTCTCCCGTCCTCTTCCTCCTGTTGTCCCCTGGCCAGCTCCCTCGCCCCCTGTTCAGCCCTGGTTCTGACACCTGCCCTCCCCGATTTCTGCTGGACAGCCCCACTGCCTCCAACCCTGCTTCCGCCACCGGCCTGCCTGTCCCCCCCATCTCCACAGGATAGCCCCGCTATCCCCAACCCTGCTTCCGCCGCCTGCCAGCCACCCACCTGGATTTCCACGGGACAGCCCTGCTACCCCTAACCCTGCTTCCACCGGCCGCCCACCCGCCTGCCCTGATCTTCATGGGACAGCCCCACTCCCTCCAACCCTCCTTCCCAGCAGCCAGTTCTCCCTTCCCCCCACCACCACCTCCTCCCAGCTTGTCCCGCTCTGCTCCCCTACCGACAGCCAGGCTGAGGCCCGGTATTTTTTTTCCAGCAGCCCATAGTTTGGGAAACGCTGCATTAGGGCGTACGTTTATGTGGGTAAAACCCACTTCATCAGATGAATTGGAGTAGAAATTAGAGAGGCAGACCTTTCAGAAAAGGCTGTTTTTCAGCCCTCTACAACTTTTTATTTTGCTCCATCTTTAAGGTAGTTGCCTTTTTCTCTTGTTGTTGCATGGAAGATTGAAAAGCCAAGGCTGTTTTCTTAAGCATAAGGCAACCTAACCCTCTGAAGCTTTCAGGTTTGATAACTAAAACCAAGAATCGCTCAAGCTGCATACAACCTTAACATGCTCTTCCCAAGGCTGGCAGGTTTGCTTAGTGTAGTTTACCCAGGGGATCACTCTGCCTCCTTAACAGTGCTATAAAATGCTATGTATATATTCTACACAACCTATAAAGTCAATCATGCCCTTTTGCAGCATCCAATACACATTTGCTTGTGGTCACCCTTCCAATAATGGAACGTTAATAGTGAGGATCATCTTTTCTTGACAACTTGGTTGGACATTAGGAAAAAGTTCCTACCTGTCAGGGTGGTCAAACACTGGAATAAATTGCCCAGGGAGGTCATGGAATCCCCATCTCTGGAGATATTTAAGAGCAGGTTGGATAAATGTCTATCAGGGATGGTCTAGACAGTGTTTGGTCCTGCCGTGAGGGCAGGGGACTGGACTTGACGACCTCTTGAGGTTCCTTCCAGTATTCTATGATTCAAAGAACTTGGGATGGGCTCTAGGGGGATAAAGGATCTTCTCATGGCATGTTTCCTATTGCTACTGATAAAATGTCATTCCAGAGTCTATTTCTACTAGGTATTTCTCATGATGGAAGGTTAAACTAAATGAAGGAGCCCTCAATAGTTCAACAAGAACCATAGTACTTGACCCTTTGGCTAAGATCAAGTGTGAAATCAGTTTGCTGAGTGCAGGGTCCTAAACTAGAAGACCCGTGAAATCTCTTCTAGCCCTATAAGTCTATGATGTGTCCCATAGGCTGTGTCTAGACTACATGGCTCCGTCGACGGAGCCATGTAGATTAGGGTTGTAGGCAAAGGGAAATGAAGCGGCAATTTAAATGATCGCCGCTTCATTTAAATTTACACAGCTGCCGCACTGAGCCGACAAACGGCTGATCCCGCGCTGACATCAAAGCCCTTTGTCGGCAGCCCCGTTATTCCTCGTGGGATGAGGTTTACCGGGGCTGCCAACAAAGGGCTTTGATGTCGGCAGGGGCGACAAACAGCTGATCAGCTGTTTGTCGGCTCAGCGTGGCAGCCATTTAAATTTAAATGAAGCCGCGATTATTTAAATCGCCGCTTCATTTCCCTTTGCCCAATAAACAAATCTACATGGCTCCGTCGACGGAGCCATGTAGTGTAGACGTACCCATATTGAGGGACTAAGAATTATCTAGGCTGTCCCTGACAGATATTTATCTAACCTGGTCTTAATCTCCAATGATGGAGATTCTGCAAAAACTCACCTGAGAGCAAGGAAGATTTTGCTAACGTCTAACCTAAACCACCCCTGCTGCAATTTAAGCATTGTTTTATCCTCAGAGGTTAAAAAGAACATTTTTTCCTCCCTTCTCTAGATAACATCCTTTTATCTATAGTAGATCCTCAGAGTTAAGAACCCCAGAGTTATGAACTGACCAGTCTGCCACAAACCTCATTTGAAACTGGAAGTATGCAATCAGGCAGCAGAGACCAAAAAAAAAAAAAACACAAAAAAACCCCAGTCTAGTACTATGTTAAACTATTTAAAAAAATCAAGGGAAAGTTTAACAATAAAGATTTGAGAAGGCAAGGGGAACTGCTCCTGTGCTTGTTTCATTTAAATGTAGATGGCTAAAAGCAGCATTTTTCTTCTGTATAAGAAAATGTCAAAGTTGTATTAAGTCAATGCGAACGTTTGTCAATGTAAACTTTTGAAAGAACCACAAATTTTGGTTTAGTGCAGGGGTGGGCAATAACGTTAGCTAGGGGGCCACTGCAGAAATTTTTAAAATGGCTCCAGGCCGTCCCAGTAGGGTCGGGGCCAGGATACTTCTGTGCTTCCCTGCCCACAGACCTTGACTGGCCTGAGGGCAGGGGGAGCGCTTGAAGTCTTTGCCCCCCGCCCCTCCCGAGAGAACCACCAGCTGTTCTGAACAGTTAGTGGTTCTCTCTAGGTGCCCGCACTCCTTGCAGTGGGAGGAGACTTTGCACGCTCCCGCTGCACACTCACAAGCTGATCAAGGCCGGGGGGGCGGAGGAAGCATGGGAAGTCTTTTGCTCCCTGCCCCCACCCTGCACGGGGGTGCTGCACTTAGAATGGAGCGCCCAGCTGAGCAGCAGCTGGTGGTTGACTCTAAGCACTGCATACCCCTTGCAGGGCAGGAAGAGAATTTGAACATGCTTCCCCGCCCCCAGGTCAATCCTCCTGCCCTTCCCCCATCCTGCAAAGAGCACACCACATTTAGAGTCAATCGTCAGGTGCTCAGCTGGCAGTTGACTCTGAGCGCCGCACGCCCTTTGCAGGGCAGGACTGACCTGGGGATGAGGAAAGCATGCAAAGGCTCTGCAAGGGCGGGTGGTACTTAAAAGTCAATCCTAGCGGCTGACTCTAAGCACCAGGTGCCAGTGCTAGGAGAGGAGACTTTGTGCGCTCCCCCGTCCCCAGCTCCTGATTGGCCTGGGGACAGGGGAGCGGCAGGGCGTCCGCAGGCCAGATCAACCCATTTGGCAGGGCGGGCCCAGCCCGCGGAGGCCCTTTTGCCCACCCCTGGTTTAGTGTTATGAACATTTCAGAGTTAAGAACTTTCATTCCCAAGATGTTCGTAACTCTGAGGTTCTACTATACTTGAAAACTGTTATGTTCCCCCCCTGTCTTCTCTCTTCCAAGCTAAACAAACCAAATTCTTTTAGCCTTTCCTCAGTGGTCATGTTTTCTGACCTTTAATCATTTTCGTTACTCTTCTCTGCACTTTCTCCAATGATTCTGACCGTTACGATGGAAGGGTTAGAAACAAAGAAAAAGTTTCAGGTACTTTGTAGGAGTTCATTTCATTTCATTTAATACCTTCCTTAAACCCTTTAAATCTTTGCTCACCGTCTCCAGATCTAGCAACTCTCAGTAGAAATGTGCCATCCAAGCAGCAGGGTATCCTGTGGGATACCACCATATTGACTCATGTATGTTCATTGTTTGTTTTTAATCCTGGCTCACAGAATGACTTCGAAAGCCTTCTGTGGGCCTGGCCAAGACCCTGGAGTGCCTCAGTAAAATAGGGATACCTACCTTGTAGGTGTGTTGCAGGGCTTACTGTTTGTAAAACAGATGACAGAATCACATTTGACATTTATAGAGGGCTTTTCGTGTTCAAAGCTAGCTTTGTTTTCAATGAAAACTGTACAAGAGACTACATTTATTAGGCAATCTCCAGTCTTAAGAGGGTACCTGAACGTTCATTATATACCTCTTGCAAAAAGGTAGGAACAGTCTAACATGAACTGATTTTAGAGAAGGCCAAAATAGGTGGAAAATAAAACACCGTGAAATATTATATTAGCCATTTTTTAATATGAAAACTAAAAGCCAGTCAGTGGATTACATGGAAATTTGACATGACAAGCGAATGGATTTGTAGCCTGTTATTTCTTATTTACAATTATGAAAAATACATTCTGGGGGACACTTAGGCTCTGGTGATTTGGCCATCAGTCAAAGCTGCCAGCTGGAGAGCCAACTTGGAAGAAAGCCTGCAGAAGTCATTCTGAACTCAGTGTGAGTGGCCATCTTCCATATGGGTGACCCAAAATGAGAAAGTAGGGGGGAGAACACATTCCCATGTGGCCAGGAAGGGAGAGGAAACACTTGTGTTTCCAGAGCCTAGAGTCATTCTACAAGTGCAGACATTCCAAACTAAAGCCGATTTTAAGCACAGCCTGGTCTTACAGATTTCCATTGTCTCAGCACCCTTCCATAGGTATGTTTATGTTAAAATAACAAGATGGCAGTCTGAAACATGAATAATGCTCTAACTAACTAATCCCAGAAAAAGTGTTTGCAACAAAAGTCTATCACTGGAATAACTGGTTCCAAGCAGAATTCAGGCGTTCTCTCAGACCTAACTGATTCCCTATCTTCACTCTAGTTGTGTCAAGCATTGTGGGGAGCAATGTGTCTTATGGACACAATCATATGTGTTGAGTACTTTTAATTTTTTTAAACTCTGAAAGATTTCTCTGCTGCTCATTAACAATTTGCTGCAGTGAACAAGAGGGAAACAACAATTCATTCATACATTGTGTTCACACTGAGATAGGGAAGATAAATGCACCAGTTAAAGTCTGGAGACAACCTGAATATGTGTCAAGCAGCAAATAAGGCCTTCAAATACATTCGAACAAGAGAGAACGTGACAGATCAATGGTGATGATCCTCACTGAAATCGGCAGAGACTCAAAAGTATAATGAAAAGTAACTTGTAAACAACGCTATTACTGTCCCAGGCTGGGAAAGAAAAGTGAAACAGAAAAATAAGAGAATAATCACTGATTTGGATATGCTGTGATAAATCAACACTCTAAGAAATATTTTGCTGGGTACTGTAGATTCAATTTTATATTTTGAGTGAATACATTATGCCACCGTGGACTGGACATTTTTTAAAATTGTTCTTTTTTAGCTTTTTTTTAATCCAAAATACCCACTTGTTTTCCCTCTCCTGATCTGACAGACAACATGAAAAGTGGTGTCTTTCTTTCTGAAGAAGGAATCTACTGATTTACTCCTACTAAAAGTTCCTTTATATTACCTTGTGATTTCACTTCGACCTCCATGTTCTGTTCTCTCCAAACAATACTGGTGCCAGTGATATCAGACAGTAACACAGGCCCTCATTAAAATTTAGTGGTATTTAACTGGAAGCTGAAATATCAGAGCAACTTTACAGTACTGAGTATGAAATAACTTATTTTTAGAAAAAGATGTACTACAGAAAATGTATAGAAAATTGAAATAATCTACGTTAACTCTTATACTAACTGCTGTTGAGTCAGCTCTACGGTTTAAACCAAATGAAAATGTCTTTGAAATTGATGTTCTTTCTCAAGACACCTCTATCAACAGAAGAATGGACGAGCTCTCTTCTCTTCAATAGTAATTTTGTGCCCCCTGCCACACAGTTCTTCAGAGATCCCCATAAGTCCATCCACTTACATCATGTCCAGCTGCAAAAGAAAATGACATATTTGGAATAGGAGGCACATGCTTAAAATTATTGCTCTCACAAGCTGGACAGAGATGGTAATCAGAAAACAAAATATGTACAGCCTAATGAACTTGGATACACGCTATCTGGAAAAATATGAAAGACCTGTGGAATACTTGTACTCTAAGTCTTCATGACTAAGCAGAGAATCAGCCAAAATTGTATTACCAGAAAGTTGTAAATGCAATTAATAGGGTTTTTAGTTAAGCTGCCCTATTTTAAGACTGGATGGACTATCGGCTGAAGCGCTGGAGATGTTATATTTGTAATGACTCAGCATGAAAAAGAAAAAAAATAAGAGAGAGGCTGAATTGTTTATACACGATAAACCCATTAAATGCTTGAATTTCAGCAAGCCTATCTGTACCAGGTCAATTGAGCAGATTAAAGTATGTTTTTCTTAATGGTTTTTATTTTTCAACCCACACAAGTAACTGCTCTGTAACTCCGGCCTTCTGAAGTGTTGTTACGTTAAACTATAACAATCTGCTTTTAAAAGAGAGAAGGGGGGGTGGGGGGGGGGGGGGGGGTGGGGGGGGTTCTTAAAACCCTGGAAAGGAAAGAATTAATCTACATGAACAACGCAAGATAACACAGTCCAGTGCCTGCCGCTATGAAACTATGTATCTGGTTACATTTACAATAGCAACTAAGTATTTCATGGGGGTTCCTTTGTGCCTTAATTCCTTAGTTCAGGGGTGTCCAAACTTTTTTCAAAGAGGGCCAGATTTGAAGAAGTGAACATGCGTGAGGGCCGTCCCCGCACTCTCAGCCCCAAGGCGGAGGGCCCGCAGGGTCGGAGGTGGGCGGAGAGCGCAGGGCACGCTGGCCTCACATCGGCCCGGGGGCAGGGCGAACCCGTAGCCAAGCGGGGGAGCGGGGCTGCGGACGTGCCCTACAGGGCAGGCTCTAGGACAGCGGAGGCCATGGGCGGCAGCGCGGCCGGAAGCGGTGCACTGGGCGCGCCAGTTCAAAAGAGCGCCGGGGAGCCAGGAGAGGGGGAGGAAGTGGGGGCCGTATTAAATCGGAACACGGGCCGCAATTGGCCTGCGGGCCAGACTTTGGACATGCCTGCCTTAGTTGCTTTCTGGGGCACAAATCCATGGCAAGTCCTCATCCCTGTTGATTTTAGAAGCTCATCTCTCACTGAAACAATCCAGCTACTTCAATCATGAAGCCCCACCATGCCTTCACAGTACTTACCAAATCATCCACATCCCCACCTTCCCCGGCTACTGACGGAGTTTCAGTTGGTTTTTCTTTGGGGGCCAAGAACTGAAAACAAAATTCATTTGCGTTACGGAGACAAAATTCAGACACTTTCCATTCACTCATTGGAAAGTATTTTGATAGGTTTTTTAAAAAACACACATGTGATCTGAGAATTCCATATAGTAAAGCTCCAATAATTACTACTGATGTTTTGTTTGAGTTTCCATCCCCTCCACCAATCTTTAACATTTTAAAGACAAGACTCAGAAAATGTAGTCAGAAATAAGAAAGAAGGCTCATATATACAGGGAGTTTAATAATGTTCTGACCAATAATGTTTGCAGCTATGAATGCTTAAAAACGGGGAGGATGTTATTTTCCCCTTCATAATGTATACCTGTGAAAATCAATAAATTATAAATTTTTGCAAAGTAAAATACAAGGACCAAATCCTGGTTCCACTCAATTAATGACCTGAATCTGAACAAAACCTCAAATGTGTAGGTGGTTAGACTTGTATTCTTTATCAAATAGATCTGTACCTAATGAATGTACCCAAACATTCTATCTTATTAGCCAGTGCAAATCACTAGATGCCCTCCACAAACCATAAAAAAGGGGTCAAAGAAATTAGTTCAGACACTATAATAATGAGGCCCATATACAGACAGCACCTAATGCGTAACTATCTCACAGCTATTTCTCTCTCTCTATTAGCTCCCTTGCTTTATACAAGCTAAAAGTTATCAGCAATAATAGCAAAGAAAACACAAAAACAGAACATGACTTATAAAAATTGTGCTCCACTGTCCAAAAATCTTACTATTAGTTACTATTATTTTAGCAATTAACTCAATGGAAAAAACAGAAATCCTCTCCCATCCGTACAGCTCTTAAACTAGATTGTACGAAACATTTACAAATATGTAGCTGGCATTAACCCTGCCCTAGAGAGAAAGCAGCAATGTGGATGAGCTAGACCATCTAATATTACAGGTCTTTTTCCAGCATTGTCTTCTGTAAAATAAAGGTGCTGCAACAGTGGCTCTAGGTGAGACAAAAAAAGGAAGCTTTTTTCTCTGAAAAGAATTAAACTCAAAAGAGACATGTTCAAAATACTCGTTTGAATTTTTAGCTGGTTTTCATTACATAAACACAGCTGGCTTCTGAAACAGATCTCTGATTATCTCAGATCTTCAGACACTACAATAAGGGGGAAACATGTAACCAGAAAGGGGAGATAGATATGGTGGGGGGATTAATGATGCTAAATATCTCCATTCTCCCTACGTCTGCAGTGGTAGATGTGTAAAGAAGGGTATCAAAAAACAGATACAAATCAGAAACTTAACATGGGGGAAGGTACCTTTGTTATCTGTGATCTGAGTATTATCCAGCTCTATTAAGACAGCACCTCACACTTTAGTCTGTTCTATCATAGAATCATAGAATACTAGGATTGGAAGGGACCTCGAGAGGTCATCGAGTCCAGGCCCCTGCCCACATGGCAGGACCAAGTACTGTCTAGACCATCTCTGATAGACATTTATCTAACCTACTCTTAAATATCTCCAGAGATGGAGATTCCACAACCTCCCTGGGCAATTAATTCCAGTGTTTAACCACCCTGACAGGAACTTTTTCCTAATGTCCAACCTAAACCTCCCTTGCTGCAGTTTAAGCCCATTGCTTCTTATTCTATCCTCAGAGGCCAAGATGAACAAGTTTTCTCCCTCATCCTTATTATACCCTTTTAGATACCTGAAAACTGCTATCATGTCCCCCCTCAATCGTCTCTTTTCTAAACTAAACAAACCCAATTCTTTCAGCCTTCCTTCATAGGTCATATTCTCTAGACCTTTCATCTTTCTTGTTGCTCTTCTCTGGACCTCTCCAATTTCTCCACATCTTTCTTTAAATGCGGTGCCAGAACTGGACAGAGTACTCCAACTGAGGCCTAAGCAGCGCAGAATAGAGCGGAAGAATGACTTCTCGTGTCTTGCTCACAACACACCTGTTAATACATCCCAGAATCATGTTTGCTTTCTTTGCAACAGCATCACACTGCTGACTCATATTTAACTTGTGGTCCACTATAACCCCAAAACCCCAAGATCCCTTTCTGCTGTACTCCTTCCCAGACAGTCGCTTCCCATTCTGTATGTGTGAAACTGATTGTTCCTTCCTAAGTGGAGCACTTTGCATTTGTCTTTATTAAACTTCATCCTATTTATCTCAGACCATTTCTCCAATTTGTCCAGGTCATTTTGACTAATGACCCTATTCTCCAGATTAGTCGCAACCCCTCCCAGCTTGGTATCATCTGCAAACTTAATAAGCGTACTTACTATACCAATATCTAAATCGTTGATGAAGATATTGAACAGAGCCAGTCCCAAAACAGACCCCTGAGGAACCCCACTTGTTATGCCTTTCCAGCAGGATTGTGAACCATTAATAACTACTCTCTGAGTACAGTTATCCAGCCAGTTATGCACCCACCTTATAGTAGCCCCATCTAAGTTGTATTTACCTAGTTTATTGATAAGAATATCATGTGAGACCGTATCAAACGTCTTACTAAAGTCTAGGTATACCACATCCACCACTTCTCCCTTATCCACAAGACTCATTATCCTATTAAAGAAAGCTATCAGATTGGTTTGACATGATTTGTTCTTTATAAATCCATGCTGGCTGTTCCCTATCAACTTGCCATTTTCCAAGTGTTTACAGAAGATTTCCTTAATTACTTGTTCCATTATCTTCCCTGACACAGAAGTTAAACTAACTGGTCTGTAGTTTCCTGGGTTGTTCTTATTTCCCTTTTTATAAATGGGAACTATATTTGCCCTTTTCCAGTCCTCTGGAATCTCTCCTGTCTGCCATGATTTTCCAAAGATGATAGCTAGAGGCTCAGATACCTCCTCTATCAGCTCCTTGAGTATTCTAGGATGCATTTCATCAGGCCCTGGTGACTTGCAGGCATCTAACTTTTCTAAGTGATTTTTAACTTGTTCTTTTTTTATTTTATCTTCTAAACCTACTCCCTTGCCACTAGCATTCACTATGTTAGGCATTCCTTCATCAGACTTCTCAGTGAAGACCTATACTTAAAGCTAGGTGAAAATACCTACATCAGCCAGGGTGTAAAAAAAAAAAAGACACATTTCTGACCAACAACTATGTTAACTTAAACCCCAGTACAGACTAGCAATGCTGATGGAAGAATGCTTCCATCAACTGAACTACTATTGCACAGGGAAGTGGTGTTCCTACACCAATAAACCCTTTCCTTGCACACAGACTGTGTCTACACTACAGGGTTATAGTCACATACCTAGGGCAATGTAGCTATGCTGATAAAGTCTCTGCAGTATAGACATACCCTCAGAAGCAGCAAAAATGTTTTTTCACAAAATGTTCCATCAACAACCTAAGTCAGAGCTCTGGAAAGAGGAAGGATAATAGCATATCAACAGTTACCTGTGCCTTTTATTACCTACTGAATACTGCTACCAACCAGGAGGCCACCTAGTTCCTCATTCTCTCAACTACCTAATTCTAAAACACCCCAGAAGGGTTTTCTTTCAAAATAAGCGCATCTAGACTGAGTTTCTTTTTTCGAAATAGGGTATTTCGAATAGCGCCCGGACGCGATTGTGCAAATGAAGCGCGGGAACTTCAAATCTGCGCTTCATTTGCAATTTCACTCCGCTGCATCTGCATTCCTCTCTCGAAAGAGGAATGCAGTGTAGACATACCCAGGGTGCGCAAGCTTTTTGGCCTGAGAGCCACATCTTGGTATGGAAATTGTACAGAGGGTCACGAATGCTCACAGAATTGGCGGTTGAGGTGCAGGAGGGGTAAGGGCTCCAGCTGGGGTGAGGCCAGAATTGAGGAGTTCAGGGTGCAGGAGGGAAATCAGGGTACGGGCTAATTTGGGGTACCAGGGCCGGTGAGGCTCTGACAGGGACTGCAGATTTTGGGATGGGAATGGGTAAGAGGAGTTAGGTGGGCAGAAGTGCAGGCCAGATGGGGATCAAAGCACTCAGAGGGCGGGAGGAGGATCAGGACTGGGGCAGCTGGTGGGGGGACTCTGCGGGGTGCAGGATCCAGGTGGCGCTTACGTGAGGCAGCTCCTGGAAGCAGCATTGCGTCTCCCTGCCAGCTCCCAGGCAGAGGTTGGGCCACACAGCTCTGCACGCTGTCCTGTCCATAGGCACTGCCCCTGCAGCTCCCATTGGCCATGGTTCCCAGCTACAAAGCTAGCACTTGGGACGGGGGCAATGTGCGGAGCCCTCTGGCTGCTCCTGCTTCAGGGGGCCACGTAGAATGGGGCAAAGCGAGCTCCCAACCTCCTTGTCCGGCTAGAGCACCTGACCCTGCTTTCTGGTGGATACTGTCAGCTTTGGAGGGGGTTTCTCACCCAAACAAATTCCATTTTACATAATTAATTGACATCAGCTAGGATCTGTGAAAGTAGGACACTTCTTCAGGGTTCTCAGAATGATCATTTTACACTAAATTAGGTGTCAATAACACCTTGCAATTTAAGGAAATCTGAGATGAAGATATGCTCAGCAAGAAACTGAAGCTTTAAGTTTCCATTAAGTACTAAACATCTACAATTGATTTTTTCTGACAGGATCTGTTTTGCATTTATGCTGAAACAAATTACATATAATAGTTGTGCCAAAATCCATTATCTTTCCGAAAGCAACCAGAAAAAGCACCTGGCAAGTCTGATCTATTAACTTACCATCGCTTTGCTCTAAAAAGAGTATCTTCCCATATGCATCATTATAGAAAAGACTAGACAATGAGACCATTTTTCTCAATGAAGGAACGTAAGGAAATACACGAGAGCAACATAATGTAACTAAAAGAACCCCAAAGGCACTGCCATTACATGGAATCATCTCCTATTCTAATATTCTCCCTTGTACAGCATGTGCCTTACATCTGATGCTGTACTACCGATTGAACCATTCTAGTCCAGCACCCGCAGGACTTGACCGGTGCCATAGCAGAGAATATGCCAATCCACAGAAGGTCAATAC